TGATGTGTTGAGAAGCAGGACGCTTACTGGCATGAAGCGGTAGCAGACTTCCGTTGCGCGGATGCATGAGCTAATGTAAGGGTGCTTCAGCGGCTAGTGCAGGAGATGGCGTCCCATCAGCTACTTTGATTCGGTGAGGGCTGCTAGGTGGTGCACTTGAAAGTGTGTGCTAAGGCGGACTAATGTCTTAAACAACTGATGAACTTTAGTTTCGAGTTGAAATCTGTTTTGAAGATGAAGCTTTTGAACCACTAGAACAGTCGAGCACGGCATTTATTTTGGCACCCCAACTCGCTGGAGTGAAAGCCAAACAAGCTTTGATTCTGATTCCGATCTAGTTTTTCAGAAGACTACACAGTATAGGTGAAGCCATCTTGCCATTTCATCTTGGCCCATGTCTTCTCAAGGACAATACGCTTGGCGCATTGAAAATCTTGTAGAGGTGTCGGCTATGACGAGTACCTGAGTTTGGTCACATTTACTGATCACCAGGACTGAATAGTGTTCTGCAGTCTAAGTAGTTCCTGATTATAGGCTTTTATGGAACGAATGCAATACGTACCCTGGCATTGTGAATTGAGACGTTCATCGACCAGACATGAGCAAGAAGGGACCCCAATGTCAGTGTATACCGAGTCAAAGGAATCTCTACTCCGGCCATATGGGCTCAACGATATAGTTCCATGATAACTGCGGAATATGACCACTATGTTCATTATGCAGGTCCAACCCTGCTATTTACTTTTGAGAACTTCCCTATAATATTGTTCGAATTTGCCTCCGTCATTTCGTTCTGTCGCACTCGCGCACACGCCTCGTCCTGTTGGCATTTTGGGTTGTGCGCCTTATGTCAGCCCGCCCCCGCAATCCCTACCTGATACACAGCGCCACATAAGGAAGTTCACCCATAAATCTTACAAAATCCCGTCTTATATGACGTTTTCAAAGATGTCTCCAGATTAAAAAATGTGGTAATTACAATGCCAATTCGCATGTCAACGCAAAAAAAATACCATGAAAGAATATCTTTCCTCAATTTTTGAAAGTAAGAATCACTCTGGCTGTTCCACAAGAGTATTGGCTTCATCTCATGTTTTTTGTCGCTGCGTCCAATTAACGCAAAAGCACTCAAAAGACTCACTAATTTGATTTCGAAGTAGTTTTCCTGATGTCGCAGCGAATTGGCATTGGTAATTAATTAGGTTGTCCGGAAAGTTCTGCAGGTTTTGTGTTACTATTTTTTGCACATTCATTGCTGATTAAAAACTCATTCTCCCTTGCGTCTCAGTAGTACATCCTGAAGAGAATTCTTTGCGCTGATGTATAAGTGGTCGTTTCACACATGCTGTGATGAACCCTCTTTTTTAAAGATTTTTTCAAGCATGTGAAAAGAGCACTTTCGGACGATTTTTTTTTTCTTCGACTGTAAATTGGGGCAATCCGCAATCGAAACAGCTCAACAAATAACCAGGTGTGGGGGGCCCCATTAGTGCTGAGTAGAAAAGCCTGGTCCGGCAATGGTTCAACAAATTTCGTTCTGGAGATTTCAACCTTGAAGATGAACCTCAGCGGTCGACCCTAGCGGTCGACCTAAAGCAATATCTGACGAGGATTTTAAGGGGATTTTGAAGGCTGACCCATCCCAAACAGTTCGAGAGATTGCAGAAAAGCTAGGCGTTGGCAAATCCACTGTTGCAGATGGTCTGGAACGCATTGGGAAGGTGAAAAAACTCGACAATTGGGTGCCCCACAATTGAGTGACCGGCACGTCTCGAGGTGGTCTCGAGGTTCCTTCTGCATTGCTTTTGCGCAGCAGAAACGACCTGTTTTTGGGCCGAATTGTCACCTGTGATGAAAAATGGGTCATGTATGATAACAGAGACGTTCCGGACAGTGGTTGGATTTCGACGAACCACCGAGGTAATTTTTAAAGCCGAACCCTCACGAAAAAAAAAGATTCTGGTCACGGCGGCGGGCCTTGGTGTCATCGTGTTATCCATTATAACTTTTTATCACCAGGCTAAACCATCACAGCAGAACCCTACTGTGAAGGAATCGACGAAATGTACCGAAAATTTTGTCAGATGCAGCCAACACTTATCAAAAGAAAGGGTCCGATTTTTTACATGGACAACGCCGCCAAGAAGAAAGGGTCCGATTCTTTGCATGACAACGCCCGCCCACATGTTTCACAAATCACTATCCATAAATTGAACGAATTGGGGGTTGAAGTTCTACCACACCCACCATATTCTCCAGACCTTTCACCAACCGACTATCACCTTTTCAAACATTTTCAGAACTTCCTTGCTGAAAAATACTTCATCAATTAGGACAGGCAAAGAAGACCTTCGTAATTTGCAATGGTTTCCTGCGCCCACCCAGTTTTTACTTTGATGGATTTCTCGACTGCTGTCACATTGGCAAAAGTGTGCTGATTCGAATGGTGCTTATTTGGATTAAATCCGATGAGTGTTAAGAAAGTTATGATCGTTTAAAGTTAAACACTCAAAACCTGCGAGAACGTTCCGGACATCACATTTCCACTCAAAGGTATTTTCGAAAACGTCTTGTAAGACGAGATTTCGTGAGATTTATGGATGGAATTGTCATTATGTGGCTAGTGTATATAATGCGGTGAATCTGTGCATGTGTGTGTGTGTGTGTGTGTGTGTGTGTGTGTGTGTGTGTGTGTGTGTGTGTGTGTGTGTGTGTGTGTGTGTGTATGTGTATGTCTCGAAATCTGTCTGTCTTCATAGAGCCAGTCCCTGCAACGATAGAACGTTGGTTCTAAGATATGGTGGAGGGTATGCGACAGGAACATTATTGGTGGGTGAAGTGATCACCAGTGATAAGGTTTGATAATAGGAAATTAAGAAAGGAGGGTCACCGACTTCATAATGGGTCACAGTAATCAGGAACGTTAGTTCTAAGCTTTGATATAGGGTCCCTGCAACGTCACACGGTCACAGTAATCAGGAACGTTAGTTCCAAGCTTTGATATAGGGTATGGGACATGAACATTGTTAGTGGGTGACAGGAAGTAACAGCAGCTGCTAAGATTCCAGAAAGGAGTCAGAAGGGGAGGGTCACCGTACTAATAACGCGGGACACAGCATCAGATAAGCATCCCAGCAAGCAATATAAAAGAGGAGGTGGAGACCGCGACGGTGGGTGACAGACAGTATAGCAACTGATAGGGGCTGATAAGGAACGTTGCCGTTGTTGTTCAGTCCAAGTTAGAGCCGTTACACTGCTAAATCATAGGGATTTAGTGGTAGGACTCTTGAGGAATGGGTGACATGCTAATCTTCTATCAATTCATAGAAAATGATAAAGGGTCATTCTCACATCTCTTACCGTTATACTGTCATGTATTAGAGACTCAGTGTGCGAAGTCTTTCCTAAGGCAAAGCCCGCGACCACAGATTGCGGGTAACGGAGCTCACATAGGAACGAAAAAGTGCTAGGTAACTGACTAGCGGAGAAAAGCAGCAGAAATAAAAAATTTCGAAATGCTCTAAATTGGACTCCATAGCGACCCTACCTGTGTATGAAGTGAAGAAAACGCATTTTTGAACGAATTTTCTTTGTCGTTATAATAAATAAGTACTCTTATCTTCTCACTCTCACCCATTCGGAATGGAGCGAGATGACATAATGGCTACTAGCCAGTAGCTGGCAGCCAGTGGAGGTGACATGGGCCTAACCATATGGGGTGCCCATGGCCTACTGGTCAACTTTCAGTGGAGTTCTTGCCGATTTTTTCACTTTTGTTCGACGGGGCAGCAGCCTCGCACAATCTACTCCGCGGAACATCTGCACACATTTTCAAGAGGTTACTAGCCTAGTTTATCGCGTGAGAATGTGCACAACTGATAAATTACAGAGGCTTAGTGATAAGGGTATTGAGGAGTGACAGGTAAATCGAAGATAAGGGGTGGTCCCCACGCACATTTGTTACTACTGTAACTGCTAGGTATTAGAGATCAGTGTGGCGAACTCTTTCGCTTTTTTTGAAGCATCACTTTTTCTAACGGCAATAGAAAATGAAATCATCCTACTGTACATAATTTGCTACATCTATCTGTCCGTTGGAAAGCTAGGCTCAGGTGGGAACCATCGAGCTGCGTGGTTCAGTGGTAAGGTTCGACGTATGCGATTCCTCGCTTATGCTTCACAGCTCACCACCAAGCCTCCACCCTACTGCACCATTACAAACTTTACCTGCTCATAAGTTGCTTGTGAAATGCAGGTTGCAGTTTTGCTATCTATATTTGTAAATAACCTTATAGACTCTATCGATCTACCCAGGTCTCCATTCAAAGTTCCATAGTAAGTTGGCGGACTTCCCTGGTCAGTTACTGTGGAGTCGCGATAGTGGGACAATCACTGTCTGCGGGTTGGACGGCCACGAATTGCTTGAGCGCGAGGCCTGCCGTTAAATATAGCGAAGAGGTTATTTGTAGTTTGTAGTCAGGGTCCGTTGACGTACCACCACCTTAAAAAGGGAACGCAGCATAAAAAGCCAAGAACACGACGTACTGTTTATTCGCACTGAAGATGACCTCCACTGTATATACATTTCTTATCGCATTTTTTTAAGACTAGTGCATTTAACTCTAACAAATTTTCAAGTATTAAGACATATATCACTACGCAGATGCATCTCTATACTGTGCGTTTAGAAAAAAAAATGGAATGAATGAACTCGGCGTTTCAATACTGCAGTCGGCCTGAAGAAACCTTAAAAGTGCTGCAGCCGTGTTCGCGCAATAAGTGTTATATATTAATGATAACATCGCAATCAGTCGGGGCGGTGTCAAGGCGGACAGAATGAGCTCGCCTCCGGCTGCCTTGCTCTACCAATAGTGATCTTTTGGTGAAAAGCAGAGGTGGAAACCCCGTGAGTAAGCCCATTTCATCCCTTTCGAAACCGCTCCGATCGATGGCGACGATATAACAACCAAGAGAGAATCAAGTGAAAATAAAATCTATATTTAGTCTTCTAGATTTCGGAACGCGTTCTGCATTGCTTCTAACAGATCGTCATATTCCTTTTTGATTTTCTGTTCACCATCTTTCACGGGATCCTGAAACATTGGATATAATGAGAGCCAAGAAAGCGAAGGATGACGTGAAGAAGAATAAAGTCGGCAAACCTTGAACTTCATCGAAGAAAGCTGATACAGAAGATCTCCCATGTGATCTCTGATAATTGCCCACGTTACCTTGTTTTCTGACTGCGCCGTGGATTCAACCGCATGGCGAGCCAAATCGTAGAATGCAATCCTTAACTGGTAATTTCCAATTGCATAATTTAAGAAAGACAAAGCGTATTGCCTTGCTACTTATCGGCAATACTCCACTGTTACTTTTCCGAAAACTAAAAAAAACTCTCTCGAACTTCGCCCGCAGAGATCAACAGTGCCCCAGTCACGAATATAATATTCATTTTTAGACCAAAGCCATTTCGCGCCACCGCCTGATGGCGTCAGTTTTAAAAAATCTAACCTAAATCTATGAAAACATGTATAAGGGGTTATTCACGTTGATGAATATGACATTCATTCTTGGCGAGGACGCCAGTGTAAGGCACTCTAATCATCTGTGCTCTGCTAAGGCTGAGCCCTGCGGGAAGGGAGTCATTCTCTCCACGCCACCACGCTCAGCCTTAGCAGACATTTTAAAATTTTTTTCTGGAGCTAAATGCCACTGTTGTCAGAAAACTGGCGTCATTCATATGATCAGGATACCACTCGATCCTATTATTCAAGTTTTCATTATTTTTGGCAAGAAGGTGTTCGCACCAAATGGGCGCCATTTGGACTCGGAATGGCCCCAGCTACAAAAAATGTCAATTCGTGGTCAGGCGGTCAAATAACCTCTGTATACAAGTTTGCACCGACTTTGCTGAGAAACGTGGCGCTAGACCGCACCAAAAAAGCCATATTCGTGATGAGGACACCGAATAACATCTACTGGCAGAGTTTCAGTGAGTCTTTTTTGAGCTTAGGGGTAGTGAGTGATGGAGTCTTGCCTACTGAGTTGCCCGAAATTGCTACTTCCCCAAAACTAACATGTTCTTAAGCATACCTACGGTCTTGTAGAACGGGCAGAATCGATCGTATGGTGTGTAACCGTTCTGCTGGAGGAAGTCGTCCTGTAAGGAGAGGAACTTAAAAACATCCGCCGCGGTTCCTCGTAATAAAATGTTGAAAACAGACCTTAATGAGTTTCGCAACTTCGAGAGTAATTTTGTCAGATTCTGCCAGTGAAGCCTTACCGACCAGCTGTACGATCTCAGAAAGATCTTCTTCCTCCTAGAAAGAGTATATAACCAGATCTTACAAGCTACAAGATGTAAAGCTAAAACAGCAGCCGAAAAAACATACCTGAAGAATTTCCTTGCATTTCGTTCGCAGAGCAATGAACTCGGGATGATTTTTCTCATAGAACTCCTCCAATGCACGCATATACTTACTGGAAACATTACCTTGAGAAAAGCAAAATAGGTAGAACGCAAGCTGTACAACATGTACGCGAATCACATTTAGCCTCAGCAGCTGTGATAGAGCAACGGCAGCAACGGGGGCATCGGACCCGTCCTAGATAGCGTCGTGGTCTGTGCATCTAGCCATGTAGCTTTCAGCCACTGCACCCCTCTATAGTTCCAGGAGGTTCTGTTCACGATGCTTTGCAGATTTTGGCTCACATGCCTGCCGACCACCCCAGGCTTTGAGAAGTTTCCAGAGGTTCTTCAAATAGCACTGAGTGACGGCCGTCGGACATGATGTGCTGTGCTTAGATTCCATGCTTTCGCGCGCCCTGCGTGCTCTACAACTCATTTTGAGAAAGCGTGTCAGCAAAACATTACACATTTCCATATGGAGCATAATTAATGACGAGCCCCACAATCGCGCACTGTGGGCAGTGGCGTTCAAATGACACCTACGGATTGCTCGAGCGCGAGGACTGTCTCTATTACGGAGACAGGAACAGGAACTGAATATAACAAAATTGAACTGAACTCTCAACAGAACCTGTATGAAATGAGCCAGTTGATGGAAGGGAAGTGTTTTCGCTGCGCAAGCTTCTTATCCAATCCCCAGAATACCTGCACGATACCAAGAGTAGCGGATGTGACAGGATCAGCGAAATCTCCACCAGGAGGCGAGACACTGAAACGTAAACATCTATCTATCTGTACATTCAGCAGTTAACCATAACATCGAAAATTAAAAAAAAACATCAGCTTGATTTCAAAAAATCCACTTCCACGCATAGCTTGCTATCGCGGGACTAACCTTCGGACAGCAAACACATGCCCTCTCACCAGATGGTTTTTAGCCGGGAATCGATACCCGAAAACAGGGAATTCGATGTCCGGATCCCGGTATTTCACAATAACTGGTAATGTGATTATTTATATTGTTTTCCACTGCAGAATTTCTCTATTCTCTCCTCCCGTATGAGTTATCTCGACATAACTATTCCCCCATCAGTACTACTTGCGTGGACGCCCTCGAGAGCCCCCTAATCAAAAAAATCCAATTCATTTTTTGATGAAATTTCCAGGCAACCCATTTCCATTAGCAAACTAAAATTCTTATATCGAACTCATGACTCACGCGCCGACAATTGTGACGGATCCTTCGCGTTGTGGATTTCCAAGACATTTCACTTTACCAGCACGTTCGTAGAACGAAGCAAGACGAGCGGCAAGATATGCAGGATAACCAGAATCAGCAGGCATTTCTCCCAATCGTCCTAAAAGATAACATCAACGATTCTTTAAACAGTTTCGAGAAACCATTTTCAAATAGGTATACATGTTAGAAGCCGTCAGGTCAAAACTGCCGATTAACCGCCGCGGTATGCAAACGGGACTCCCCGCAGTTGTTAAGACGCAAAACCCATGCCGAAAATTCGACCAAAGCGCACAGCGAGCAGCTTGCTGTCGCAAATTTCTTCTGCTGTTCTCTATCTACTCATCAAAAATTATACTAAACAGCAATAGTAGAGGCTCGCTTCATCGCTGGCAAAAATTGACATTCTGCACTAGCCTTTACATGCAAGCATTTTACTGGGAAAAATATCACATGACCTTCTTGTCGGAGCTGTTAGCTCGTATTTCTTCGAAGCAACGACGATCACTTAGGTAGTAAGAAGAAACATTCCTCACCAGAAATCTCACGAAGTGCTTCTGCCCATCGAGAAGTTGAGTCAGCCATCATAGCTACGTTCAAGCCCATATCACGGAAGTATTCGGCCAAGGTGATACCTACAAACAGATGGAGCCGGAAAATCCATTCATAACATGCATTTTTATCGTTTCATATAGCACTGTTTCTCTGGGAGGGGTCATTTCACACTTTAGCTACATCTTTCTGTTAGTTAATGTTGAATAATTCCTGAGAAGCCGTGAAATGGTGCGATCGAGCCGCTATGTTCACAAGAATTTTCGTTTTTTCACAGCTGGCCTGGGCAAGTTAAGCAGAGAACCATTCGAGGCCCCCACCAAGCCGGTCTGCGGTGATTCAGGTGGTCAATATCAGTGATAGCAATAAAGCATTAACGGAAACTATAAGATAATTGCAATAATGACAGTAGTGATGGTAAAAACGAAGACATTATATGATTACAGCCATTATTACTATTTCTTTACCAGTGTAAATGGAAGCTTCACGAGCAGCGACAGGCATATTGGAGGTGTTTGCCACAAGAGCTGTACGCTTCATGATTGAAGTGGTTACTCCATCAACCTCCATAGTTAGTTCAGGGAAGTCACGAAGTACCTGGAAGAAGTTACTTACAGTTTCTTTTAAAACTTGTTTATCAAATTCCAGGCTACAGTGCAAATGCTTCGCTCGGACGGAGGAGTTCACAAACCTCAGACATTTCATTTCCGCGCTCACCACATCCTACATAAATAATAGCATCCGAGTTGGAATATTTTGAAAGAGATTGAGAGATAACAGTTTTTCCACAACCGAAGGCGCCTTAAATAACACCATAAGGCTAATCAATAAAGCTAATGTTTCCAGCAAGAGCAGACCTGGAATAGCAGTAGTTCCTCCTTGTACGCATGGGAAAAGCGCATCAAGTACTCGCTGACCACATAGCAGTGGATTATTAGCGGCTAGCTAAAGTTGAACAAATTTAAAAGATTCAGTGCAACTCAACTGAACAATGGGCACTATTCAACAATTACTGTCCCAGTCTTCCGAATTCAGGCCACTTTTTACCTATTTTTTGGCTGAAAATTTGTTTCCAGAGGTAGTACTGAACACGAATGTAAATTCGCTTTGCCTGAAACCTGTCTGCGCCCTCACCAAGATATCCTCGATGACCAAAATCGATGAAAACTTGTATACTGGGGCTATTTGACATTCTGACTTACGAATCTGACACTCATTCTTGACGTGCGCTCCATAAGGCTAAACCTGAAGGGGATCACTCCTTATCCCAGACTCAGCCTTAGCAGAACACCGATGCCACTGGTGTTGAGAAATGAATAAGACATTCCTGAGCAGGACATCAAACAACCACATTAAACAAGTACACTGACTTTGGTGAGAGGAGTGGTGGCGCCAGAATAGCGTGAGAAACGAATGTCACACTCGTGAGAAGGGCAATAACCCGTACAGGCAGAGTTTCAGCAATTTCTTGAGTTCTTGTGGCAGTAATTGTTCAATAGTACCGAACAGTGAAGCCTATACAACCCCTGATTATACCTTTTCTGCACAAGGACGAGGATTACGGACGGGCCAAATTTGGAGCATAGCAAATTTCTCTTTTTGTCCGGCAAACTCGACTTCTAACAGTATGTCCTGAAATCAAGGCCTTTGCAGTACCAAAAAGCATTGGATTTGTATATCAGAAACAATCACTCACCTCAACGGTGTATTGTCCTGACGGAGCAACGAATGTTACTGTACCGCATGAGTTAGGAGGAAGCTATGACCTTGTGCTTGATGAGCAGATTTTCATGCACAGTTCCAAGTACATCACCACCTAAACGAAGACCATATTAAATCGGCAAACAGAGCGTTTGAATTCTTCTGACAGTGATAGACTGAAGCTTTTTCAAAGCCGGCAATAGGAGCGATCCAATATTTTGATATTGAGCTCTTTCTACGAGAAAAGGATAAGTAAGCAACGAGTGAAATGATGATGCTTAGAGCGATGCTCTATAGCTGCGAATCATTCTTCGAATGTGAGAATAAAAAATACAAAGCCACGTGAACAAGCCTCTTCAGGACTGTTCCATTCTTCTAAAATACCGTCCGTTCTGCATTTCTCAAATGCGTTTATTTATGAACACGCTGTATGGCGGACAAAGGGCAAGTTAGGGAGAAGTTATGTAGTGGCAGAGAAGATTAGAATAGCAGATCTTTGAGTATTATCTATCTATCGGTGCCAAGTTATCCAAAGAATGGATAATATCTACCTTCAGCAACGACCTTAGATGCTGTGCGCTTAAAAAGACCTATAGGAGCAGCTCCTATTGAGAGATAGTTTTGTGTTAGACAACGATTTATATGTCGCAGATCGACGATTCAGTCCGACACGTATTACAAGCGACTACTGCTCTTCCGCCAGTTGTTGGACCGCTGCAAATGGCCATCAGGAATACTCTTCTGGAGGGATCCAATTAGCAATCGTAATGGTCCAAATGTTAGTGATGGGGCGTGATCGGTCACAATCGCGAGGTTTTACCAAGGCGCGAGCGAATCACTCATGCTGCGGAGTCTGAACGCTGCCTCAGTCTGAGGTGAATTCCATTTCGCTTCGCATAGTGAAGAACTGATCTCTGATTGTTGTCTGTAGCTTGACAACTTCTTTTAGGAGAAGATATTGTGAATAATGTATTGAATGAGAACTAGAAACAGGAGGAGAAAAAATGGGAAAGATAAGGTTTCGCCCTTGGACGAAACAAAAAAAGCTAATCTTGAAACAGGATTAAAGTCTTCATTCTCCCCCGCCTCGAAGCATAGATCTGTGAGTTGGCTTAATTTCTACGCATGTAATCATTCCCACAAATTTGTCTAGAACTTAGTTCTACGAGATCCGAATTCAACCTGACGATCGAAGCGGGGAACAACAGCGAACATAAGAATTTGTCCCTACGTTTTTTTTACACCAATCGATTGGAGTGTCTGACGCAGTAGGGGGAACTATTCTTAATTCGATCCCATGTGCGCATATTTATAATCACCAAAGGCGCATACATTACAGTAGCCAAATGAATAGACTTTGCAGAATTTTCTTTTACAGTACAGAATTCCGATTCATGCCAAGCCTGCCTCTCAGCTGTACCGCCAATAAAATGAAAAAAGATTTTGAGGAGAACTAACCAGTAACATGAGATCCCACGATGATGTCCTTGTTTACAGTGTAATCCCAACGTGCCTCACGGGAAAGAGCCTTCGTTGAAACTCCTTAAAAAAGAAATTAGGCCGAAAATGTAAGTTGTTTGTAATGCAGACAACCATAAACGTTTGATAATGTCTCGAGCATAGCGGAATTGTGGAGTAGTGCTTTTCAAAACTGGTTAGTAATCTCGTACATAAGGGGTGCATTTTAGGTCAGGGTCTTAAGGGCAGCGAACGTCCGGAAAAGCTCGGCACGGCAACCAACTCTTGCCTGGAGTTGAGCAGGTAACAGGCTACAAGCTGTGGGATACCAAAATCAGGGTACGCCATCGTTGTGATCATCACAAGGGGGGGGTCGTATTTGGTCAGAGAAAAAATTTTTTTGATAGTTGATTTCTCTTGTTTCACGGACGCTGTAAAGGGGGGGGGTCGTACTTGGTCATTTTTGGGAGGGGGGTCGTATTTGGTCAGTTCACGGACGCACTACTATTTCCGACACTTGAAAATGATAGTTTTTCTGACGACCTATGGAATTAGGGGGGGGGTCGTAATTTTCAGAAAATGATCACAACGCGATGGCGTGCCCTGACCACAATACTTCTAAAATATGCGGACGGTCTAGAGAATTTCAACGTGATGTTAACAGTAACACTGAGTCTCCCTTTCCAGACGAAAAGAAAAAAAAGAATAATACAGGTTTACAGTGGATAACCAGATATCTATGGATGGAGTATTATAGACCGTATGTCATTTATGTAGAGAGGTAAAATTTAGTGAGAACGACAGTGAAATAACCTTTAGGAATGTAGATTGACTGTGTCATGTCGGCAATATCTTTAAGAGGACGCTGGATTCCGTCAAAAATGGAACCCATAATTCCGGGACCAAGCTCCACCGAAAGCGGTTTTCCTGTACGCAACACTGGATCTCCGATTGTGACGGCCGCTGAAATGTTGTTGTACAAAACGCCTATCTCACCGAAAAAAAAATCGAAAAACGTAAAAAATGCAATGGCCATCAGCCATGAAGATAGGACACGTAAAAACATGAGTGTGATTTATCTTTCTCTGGATGGTCGCACACCCAACTAACATTCCGTCTCTGTTCACTGAAAAGTGGCAGTCCATTACATACCTTTTATCTGGTTTGAAGAAAATCAAGCGATTTCACTTTCACTCATCAAAGTCGCAACTGTCAGAAAAACCAGGGAATTTTTTCACACTTATTTTATCTTTTCTTAAGCCTCAACTAAACTATCCCGATGACTGTAACATATTGAGGAAGCTTTTCTGGACTATACTGGGAATCTGCAAGCAGTAACTAACAACATTAACGGAAATTAAAGACATTTCTCGATAAAGCAGTAGACGCATGCAGATGATAACCTTTCACCTACTCAAGAACTGATCGACTCTCTAAGAAGAAATTAGAGGACATTTTTTTCTGTTGGTGGACACTACAGTCGCGGAGCATTCCATATGGAAAACTTATCAAAATAGTGTTCACAAGTCTCGGAAGCAAAATGATGATTAAAAGACTATTGTTGAATACTCCCTTCTCGAGATATAGCGCACCTTATTCTTTTTCTTAATAGTGTTGGCTTTTTTATTCGATGTGGCCTATACAACAACTTGTGGTGCCAACCAAAATACAACAGAAGTGTGCTTAGCCTCCCTAACAAATACGCTACCTAATAACTTACGCAAAATGTGAAATGCTTTGATGGCCTGAGACTGCACTCATACATGACGGCACTGAAGAAATCTCGAATTCGCGGAGAATAATATACATACATAATGTAAAAGTGTTGATTTGTGAACCACTGCGGAAGTGGGAGAAATGCATAATCTGCGGAAATGCCGAGGAAAGACCTGATAGAGATTGACCGTTCAGCCGCGCTACTGAGAGCAACGACAATTCTGCGAAATGTCAGCATTTCTGCAGCTTCTGCATTTCTCCGAACTCAGAGGTTTTTCAAATCGATACCTATACTTCCTCCTATTCATTTTTTTCAAAGCCGTCATGAGCGAGTACAGCGCAGCCTGCACGACATTCGATTCAGCCTTTTGATCCCCGAGACCATGCAAATAATAAGCGCTTCAGTGCTCAATTTAACATATTGTTCCAATTTCCCAGTGGTAAACGACCTAGAAGTGAGACTTACATGTCTCTTCGTAGACTTGGATTGTGGCGAAGTCGCCTTCTAGACGAATGATCTCTCCTACCAATTCACCATGACCCACTCGAACAAGCTCATACATGGCAGATCCAGCCATTTTCTCGGCTGTTACTACTGGAAAGTATTCTCTTCAGTGATCGGAAACTACTAAGCGAAATAATAATGGAAGACAAAAAGGGATACCAGGTCCGGACACTCCATAGACAAAACCATAAGTAGCTTCCCTTTCCGAAGCATCACGACTGCTGGGTGCCATCGGTGAGATCTATACCTACAACGAATTTGAATTGAACATATCGTCGAAAATAAATTGAGAAAAGACAGTGTACATATTCGCCGCACATCAAATGTAAACAGCCCCAACGGACTAGAAAATGTTGATACTACCTATATTCAACGCATAATTTTAGGGAAAAAGGAATTTCCTCAATTCTGACTGAAAACCAGCAACACAACAACATTAAGAACGGACCAGAAAAAGTCAATAACAATCTACAAATGCATTTGAGCGATTTCGGAACTGGAGACCAATTTTTGCCCTCGGTCGGTCTTGCGGCGTGGTTATTACGCCATGGCGCACCATTGATACGCAACACGCTCCTGTGTACTCTCGTTCTTTGGTCTTTTCCCCGAGAGGCGGTCGTCTGGCGCGATCACATTGCCGTTTACGTGTTTTGGCAGGTAATGGTGGGGTCTACCAATGTGGGTAACTCGTCCGAATCGGCGATCTGCAAGGTTTTCGCAATTGATGGCCTAGATAAGGCTGTGAAAGTTGGCTCGGATGCTAAGGGTTCCAGCCAGGTTCCCAATGATTACTTATTATTAACACGTTCGAGGCGGCGTGTACTCCCGGGAGTACACGCGGAAACCCCTGTTTTCGGTCATTCGTACAATATTGCGAAAACACGCGCATATTTTTTTGTTCTTTTTGCGACTGATTATATTCTACTAGCATACATTTACACAATTAACACATCAATACGAAGAAAAAATTGTAAAAAGGCGCTGTTTGTCGACGGGGGGGGGGGCATTTTGTACTACCATTGCTTCCCTAGTTCCGGTTTACAAATCTCACCCTGGTAAAACTTGTGAACCCTTGTGAAGCTGGTGCAGGATCGTCTAGCCACCATCCTAAAACGTGTCAACTCGAGAAAAGGCTACCTAGATGGGTCGGCACATCTATGGAAAGCAGAATGCCCCCCCCCCCCCCCGTCGACAAACTGCGCCCA